TGTCTAAGTTACTTTGCATATAGCGGACTTGGATATGAAGAGAAAAGGCAATTTACTTTAGTCATCATTGCTGTGTCACATGACTTCAGCAAAGTTCAGACGCAAACGAAGTCCCAGGGCTAGTCTGTCATTGCGGTGTGTACAGAATGGCCATTTTCTCCCTCCATGGGCAGAGGTGTGTCAGTTAGCAATTACATAACAAACCGCTGCAAAACGTGAGTTAAAACAGTGTTTTAATAATTTTTCAAAGATTCTGTGGGTTTCTGAGCGTTTCTTCTGCTGGTACTACCTGGGGCCATATACAGCTACATCCATCTGATCACAAAACAGGGGTGAGGGTGGGGTAGGCCAGAATAGCCTCCATGTGGCACTCAGTGCTGGCTATTGGCTAGGGTGCCTTGATTTGTCACTACATGGCCTCTCATTTTCCATAGGCTAGATTGAGCTCTTCACAGCATGGGGGAAAACCACATCTGGTCAAGATGTGAAGTCAGACCAGAACTTCTTCTGTGCTCCTTATACTCCACCACATTGCTCTTGCTTGTGTGTTTAAGAGGAAAATAATGTATGTAGACTAGTAACTCAGGCACGGAAAATTTATTTGGCAGAAGTCAAAAAAAGTAGTGACTCTTCAGGTGGAGAGAGAAGATAGGGAATAAAAAGGGTTGGTCGTTTTCCCAACCTGTTTTAGATATTGGGTATTAATAGAATAATCGAGGTAGAGGTATAGTAAAGTCCAAAGATCAGGGGACAACGGACACTGGAAAGATAGTTTGTTACACACAGTTCCCAAGAGAAGGGGACCCACTATGCCACGGAGACCACAGAGGAAAGCACTAGCAGTGGTCATAAGGCAGAAAGAAAGGAAGGAGGTGCAGACAAGAGCCATTACTGTGGTTGCATGGAAAGTAACAGGCAAAGCCAGGTAAGCAGGGTTAGGATTGGCTGGTTTGAATAATTTTAGTGGTCTGCATGGCATACCTAGTTGTCTGGTATCTGGCGTTGGGGTGATTAGGCATGTGAATAATGACCCTGAGCATGAGAGCTCCATAAAGGAGTATAGGCCCCGGATTGGTTTGTTCGTATTGGAAAAGTACACTTGTGAGAGAATTGTTCACTATCTGTAAAAATCAGTTAACCCCGGAGGAGCAGTCCCTCCAGGGTCAGCAAGGCCCCAGATGTCAAAACATTAAAATACAGAACATAAAAAAACCTAGTGAATACACTTCCACTACTACTGTCGTGGGTTCTCTGTCCCTCTAATTTCTACCTTTACTCCCAAACCTAAAGAAATGTCTGAGATACCCAAAGGTAATCTGAACTCTCTAGAAAATAGCCAAGAACAAGGAAAGAAGCAATGACAACAAAAAAAAAATTTTTAAACCTGAGCAAATATCACCAAACTCAGTTTTATTTGATATAATTTTCCATAATATTTTATTTTTATATTTTATCCATAATAAACCACAGTTAGAACTATGGCTGGTTCCACTGCCTACTAGGGGCTGGCGGTACATATCCTCCAGGGCCCCTGAATAGTTAATGGGGAGTAATTCTTTCCCCTTACAACTTTCATCCATCCTCAACCACAGTGTGATTGCATTTCAAACTTTGTGGTTAATTAGGAACCATTTTATGGAAAAGAGGTTTAAGTTAGCTCTTCTGGGCAGCAGTCACCATCTAAAGCAAAGGACCACGTCAAATGGCCCTGGGTACCAATGCTCCTTGGGCCCATTCAGTTTGGTGGCACGGCACTTTGAGCATTTTATTCTGTTCCCACCTATCACATTGTTCCTTGAATCTTAGTCCAAACCATCATCCAGTTTCATGGGGGTTACTGTATTAGCTTTATAGCCGACCTCTTCACTACCATTGTGCCCACCTCCATTTTGCTTGCCTTAAACTAGAGATCCCGGTAAAACGGATTCAGTCCTGTCTTTCATTTGCTTTAAAAGCCCTTAGAAGTTTCCCATTGACCTTAAGATTCAGTCCAAAATACTGAATCTTTTGTATTCAGTATGATCTGAATACTGTATGATTTAGTTCCTGCCTGCTTCTCCAAACTTATTTCACCCAATACTTCACTCTTTTTTTCTGATCCCTCCACTCCCCCAGCCTTTTGGTTACTCAAAAAATGCCAGACTCTTCCGCTCAGGGTCTTCATACAAACTTTAAAATTTGTGTGTTTTCTCCTTCACTGATTTTCTAGTGAAATTCTTAACTTCACGTCATTTCCTCAGAAGCCTCTGCTTGCTTTTCTTCTTTTTTTAAAAAAAGATTTATTTGTTTTAGAGAGAGCAAGAGAGTGAGCACATGTGAGTTGTGGGGGTGGGTAGAAGGGGAGGAAGAGAGAATCCTCAAGCAGACTCCCCACTGAGAGTGGAGCCCAACACAACTCAATCTCATGACCCTGAGATCATGACCTGAGTCAAAATCAAGAGTTGGGAGACGCTTAACTGACTGAGCCACCCAGATGCCCTGAAGCTGTCTGTTTCCAAGCTTGTCTAGCCCCGAGGGCACCCTGAGCTTTGTTCCCTAGCTACAGCCTGCACACCCCCTCCCCATCACAGTGCATTTCAGGCACCTGCTCCCCACAGCCCTATCTACCTCACCACAGAAGCCTCCACAGATTAGCCCTTTACCAACCAGCTTCTCCATCCCTCAGACCATCCTAATACCAACTTCTTATGCATTTACATTTTGTTTTCAAAATTTCTTTTTCTCATCAGCGCTCTAGTCTCCAAATGTTCTTCTTGGACTTCTGTTTTTCCCTGGGTACCCATTCTGGGGTTACACAGAAAATGAATAATTTTTTGATGGACACCAATATATACAAAGAGGAAAAGGTTTGCACCCTGTCCTCATAAAGGGCAGGCTTTAAGAACTCTAATGCTTCCAGAAACCTTCAAACAACTGGCAAAGGAAGTTGATATATAAGCCCTGTGGTCATACAGTCAGAAGGAAAAGGCTCTTGGATTCATGAAATGGCAAATTCCTTTAATTCTAGTCCCCAAGAACTTAATAGAGGAGGAATAAAATTTTGCATGGGGAAGGGGGTTACAGGTAACAAGTGCCTTTCCCCCCTTCTTTTTAAGTAGGTTAACACAGAGCTTGTTTAAACAAACAAATGTACAACAAAAAGCAAAAGTCAAATAATTCAAAATAAAGTACAAAAAAATCACTTTAAAGGAGATCCATAGCAACACTTTATACGCCCATCCCTCCGATCCTAAATTCTCTTGAGTTCTATAACTGCTCCAGACTCTTTCCCATAATCGACATAATTTTTTCCCAGCACTTTGCACTGTGCAGCTTGACTTAACTTCTCAGGCTAAGTGCTCCCACCTTATTGCTTCAATCCCCAGGTTTGCAAGGTGTCTCTTCCTTGGAGAGATTGGGGCAACAGAAGATTTGGGAAATAGGGGTAAGAAATTTTCAATCTCACTTTAATAAAGCCTGTCCTGATCAGTCCAAAATCACCCTTGGCTCAGCTCAGGTGATGCTTCTTTGGGGAAGGATTAGTTGGGAGGTTTGACTCATTTCCTCAGTCTCAGAGCCAAAAATTAAGCCCCAAGGTTTAAATTCAAATTCTGAAGTATCCTTCCCTCTTTCCTGTTTTTCATCTTGCTTATTTGCTATTTGGAACAACAGTGACTTTATATACTAAAACTGAAAATACAGTGTGTTAGTGTTCTGTGATATATATTGGTCAAAGGCTATTGGAGCTCTGAGAAGGGAGTAATTTATATTGCCCGTGGAATAAGGGAGGCTTCAAAAACCTGGGGTCCTTGAAGCTGCATTTTGGATATGTGGAAGTTCATGCAATCCTCAGGGAATAAGATCTCCTCCAAAATTGAGTATGGAGTGAATGGAGAAGAGTAGCAGAAAAGGCAGGCCATTACAAAGGACCTTAAATTCCTTGCTAAGAAAATTGGAGTGATTAGTATAGGTAAACAAAACCAACCAGGAGAATTTCATTTATGCTTTTTAGATAACTTTTCAGCAGTGTGGAAGATAGACTTGAGAATCACAACTAAGGTTATGTTTGTTTTTTGGGTTTTTTCATACTTGACCCTGTGGGCCTATAGATATGGGTGTTATAAGAGCAGGTGAAAGAGAGGGAGTTTCTCAATGTGAGACTTACTATTGTGGAATGACTTCAATATGTGGAAAGATGACAAGGGATTAAACCAGAATATTTCCATGGCAATAGAGGCAGGGGCAGATGAGAAGATCTCAAGGATAACATGGGAAATGTTACTCCATGTCACCTGTATTTTATACTATTATGTCAGCTCAAATAGCACGTGTTAGGTGAGGCTTTCTCACTCACCCTGGCAAATGGCACGTGGGGGCTGGTTCCTGATCAACTGTTGCACTTAAGGCACAGGCTCATTTGTTTGCCCACTAAACTACCAGCTTCTTTAAGGCAGGGATTATATCTTTTCACCTCTGTTTTCCTCAAACCTTCTAAAGACCTGCAAAAATGTGTGCTTGGAGGGTTGCAGAATGAGTGGAAAATAGACATTCATAAATGGCTGAACATTACAGGCTATCTAGTAGTTAAAGCACTAGCATTAAAGGTTCAGTGATATCAAGGGGCTACACTGATTGCCATTCAACCTACCCTTTCGTGGTGACTTATTTCTAAATCTTAATTATTAAGCTGTAGAACTCCCCATCCCACAAATAGCCAAGAGTACCGGAAGCTGCAATACTAGCTCGAAGGTAACTTTTTTTTTTTCTTAGCTGATTTTATAGAGCGGCTATGTGCTAGGGAACGTCAGAAGACGTTGGGCAAGACCCAGAACGTGGGAGGTATCTGTTTCCACATCATCTACTGAGGACTACAAATACGGCTTCAATCCCTAAGTTTCGACTGCAAACCAATGTCCCGGAACCAAATGGCCGACACACGAAATTTCCCCCCGGACGCGGGGGGTGTGTTACGCGCATCTATTGCTTTTGCCTGGCGGAGGCTGATCAGGGGAGGACCGAGCACCGAGAGGCCGAGGAAAGGAGGCGAGTCAAGGACTTCCTTCTGGGGAGGGAGCTTGAATTCGGGAGGCCGCGCTGGGCCTGTCGGACTAGGCGTCCGCGCCCGTGGGAGAGTTCAGTCATGTCTGTACATTCGGTGATGCGCATCCTGCGCAAGAACAAGACGCTTCGCTATGGAGTCCCCATGCTGGTGAGGGCCGGCAGGGAGAGCGCGTGGGGCGGGATTCCGGAAGGGGTGGGGCGTCCGGCTCGGCAGGTCCTGGCGGCCCAGATCCGGGAGGCAGAGGGGGCGGGGAGCCGCAGCCTGGGCGGGGAAGGGGGCGGGGAAGGGGCTGGCGGCAGGTGGCAGTCCTAGTCTTCTCCCTTCGCTCGTACCACGATCTGGAGTCCCCCTTTTACCCTCCCTAGTAGTCAGCAGGGTGTGCTTCAGGGAGCGAGGTCAGAACCAGATTTTGCCCCAGGTCTGGGTGATTACTGAACTGACATTGTTAACCCCCTGCTACACCTGGACGGTGGTGTGGCTCGTTGGAGCCAGGTGTATTTACTTAATTTGTACAGTTTCGGGCATCTCCACGTTTCAGCTTCCTTGTTTGTGAACTGGTTTAATTCTTCCCGGGTTGTTGGTAGGAGTTCAATAAAACCTTGTGAAAACTGAGTGTTTAGCACGGTGCCTGCCACATTGTAGGACCTTTCAAAAGGTCGCTGACTTGCAGTTGATCATTTTGAAGCACGTTGAGTGTACTTTTGGTGTTTATGTGTTTGCGTCCTGTCCTGCACTGAGTTCCCTGAGGATCTCGTTCGTCTAGAAGATACAGCTTGAGGTTGACATAACACCAGCCAGAGCTGGAATCCAGCCAGATAACTCTCTGCCCCCCCCACCCCCGCGCCCTTTTTTGTTGTTGTTGCTTCACCTTGGCAAGTTGTTTTGCTTCAGCAAGCCTTGATGTGATAGTAAATGAGGCAATTTCAATAAAACGTGTGGACAAAAGCCACTTTCTTTTAAATCCTGTTTAATTCTTTGTATGGATATTGGTAAGATGAAGTTACCAACTTTCACATTTAAGCAGAACTAAAGGAGAGAAGTGACCTTTAAAAAGTTTAAAGAGGGACGCCTGGGTGGCTCAGTGGGTTAAAGCCTCTGCCTTCAGCTCAGGTCATGATCTCAGAGTCCTGGGATCGAGCCCCACATCGGGCTCTCTGCTCAGCAGGGAGCCTGCTTCCTCCTCTATCTCTCTGCCTGCTTCTCTGCCTACTTGTGATTTCTGTCAAATAAATAAATAAAATCTTTAAAAAAAAAGTTTAAAGAAAACTATCTTAAAAGATAATGCAGTAATTATATTTGTGTAAATGACAGGGCATGTGTAAAAACTATCCTCCCTCTAGGTTCCTCTGCCCCCAAATGGAGATCCATTCAGAAGCATTGTGGTCGTGGTCACTAACTTGTGGTCACCTGCATGTCCCAGGGAAGGCCAACTTGATTTTGTTTCTTATTTTTCAAAATCACAAGCCACGGTATTAAAACCACTAGTGTTGAAGTACCTTCTAGGAGTTTAGGGGTTTCCACTTGTATTTTATTTCAGGGAATGGAAAGTACCACAGTAGCCTTTTCCCCAAATGTGATACCCTGTACTGGTCTCTACATCTATACCAGACCTAGAGAACCATGTTTCAAAATATGAATCCTAAACATAGTAATAAATTGAAGAGGAAAATGTTGAATTCAGTACTCTGAAACCAGACAGTACTGGAAAGAACTCAAAAGATACATCCTCTTCATCATGTAACAGTTGCATATGCCATAATTACTATACTACATTTATCTTTAAACTGAAATTATTTCCTCTCTTGGATAAATATTAATGCTTCATAGGACATACAGAAGAGGACTTTGAACACCAGGTATATATGCAAATACAACTCTCCTTCCCTCCGTGTCCAAACTACTTGAAGAAAGAGAATATACTTGTTTCAGCTTCCACACTACCCATTTAGTTAGGATTTACCTTTCTAATTTGACCAGTGACCTACTGGTTCCTACACACCAAAAAATTAGCCCATTTTAAGTGTTCGGTTCAGTGTTTCTACTATATTCACAGAGTTATGCAACTACCACCACTGTCTAACTTCAGAATAATTTCATCAGGGACACCATGCTCATTAGTAGTCACTTCCTGTTTTCTCCTCTCTCCCCCCAACGTAGGCAACCACTAATCTACTTCTGTCTATAGATTTTTTTTTTTAAAGATTTTATTTATTTATTTGACAGAGAGAGATCACAGGTAGGCAGAGAGGCAGGCAGAGTGAGAGGGGAGAAGCAGGCTCACCGCTGAGCAGAGCCCGATGTGGAGCTTGATCCCAGGACCCTGGAATCATGACCTGAGCTGAAGGCAGAGGCTTTAACCCACTGAGCCACCCAGGCACCCCTATAGATTTTTTTTTAAAGATTTTATTTACTTATTTGACAGAGATCACAAGTAGGCAGAGAGGCAGGCAGAGAGAGAGGAAGGGAAGCAAGCTCCCTGTGGAGCAGAGAGCCCGATGCAGGGCTCGATCTCAGGACCCTGGGATCATGACCTGAGCCGAAGGCAGAGGCTTTAACCCACTGAGCCACCCAGGCGCCCCTGTCTATACATTTAATAGTGTAATATGACATGTGGTCTTTTGTGACTGACTTCTTTCAATTAGCATAGTGTTTTCAAGATTCATTCACGTTATAACACGTATCAAAACTTCATTCCTTTTTATGGCTAAATAATGTTCCAACATTTGGCTAGAAAATTTTTTAATCCTAATCCTGTCCTATTTATTTATCATTTTATTTATCCATTGGTGAACATTTAGATTGTTTCCAGTTTTTGGCCCTTGTGAATCATGCTGCTACGAACATTCATGTACAAGTTTCTGTATGGATGTACATATGTTTTCTTTTCTCTTAGGTATCTCCCCAGTGATAGAATGGCTGGGTTATCTGGTACTCCATTTTGAGGAACTGTCAAGCTCTTGCCCAGAGTGGCTACATCATTTAACATTCCCACCAGCAATGAATCCTCCGTGTCCTTGCCAACACTTGCTAATGTCCATCTTTTTTGTTACACTCTTCTCAGTGTACGTGAAGGTATCTTATTGTGGTATGGATTTGCATTTACCTCATGACTAATGATATGGCGCATCCTTTCATATGGCTATTGGTCATCTGTATCTCTTTGAAGAAATGTTTATTCATATCATTTGCCCACTCTAAATCGGGTTATTTTTCTTTTTATTGGGTAGAGGTTTCCTTAAACACCTGGAACCAGTAAGTCTTTTTTGAGGGCCTCTGTGTGCTTGTTTTGGTGTGTCTTCAACACTCAGCCAGGCAGGTTACAACTCTGCCTTGAGCTTTTACTTCCCATTTGCTCAGAGACTCAAGGTTAGCCACAGGCAAGTGTTTAAGGCCTTCTCAGATCTTTCCTGAGCTTACACAACTCTGGGCATGGGCACAATTCTGTTCATTAGCATTTCCTTCTAGATTCTCAGGAATATATTAGAACTTTTCAGAGTCCTCTGTGGACACCTTATTTCTCATATTTTCCTTTTAAGCTTTTTGTTTAGACTGTTATTTGCCCTGTTGCCTACCATCTCAGGCAGTCACAATGTTAAACAATTGCCTCTGAATTTTTTCAACAAACAGTTCTTGGGAGAAGTCTTTAGTACTAGTTGAGCTCCAAGTCAGGAAAACTGAAGCAAGCCTTGTGACTGTGATTTCCACTGAACCACCAGATTTGGTCAAGCAGTGACAGTTCTCAGAGAATAAGATTTTAAGGAGCCCCAACCCCGTGCTGCCCCTTTAGAGGTTACTGCTTTGTATCATGATGCGTTCTATTTGTTCTCATGGTTACCATGGAGCTGGGGCAGGGAGGTGGGAATAAAAATGCCACCAAGCTTTCTGTTCTTACTGAAAGGTAGTCTCCTTCTTAAGAAGATGTTCCCAACATTACTGCAAGTCTTTGCTTAATTTTCAAATTTCTAAAAAAGTTGCTGTGACAACTTTTGCCAGTTTTCTCATTGCTTTGATGGAGAAGATTTTTGGAGGTTCTTAGTCTGCCATTTCACTTGACGTTATCTTTTGGTTCTTTTTTTTCCTATGTCTTTGGTGAGATTTTCTAATTTTTCATTTGTTTTAAGAACATCTGTTACTGCTCTCTGAAGCATTTTTATAATGATTCCTTTAAAATTTTTGTTAGGTCATGGGGTGTCTGGGTGGCTTAGTCAGTTAAGTGTCCAACTCTTGGTTTGGGCCCAAGTCATGATCTCAGGGTCCTAAGATCCAGCCGGCATGGGCATGGGGCTCCCTGCTCAGCGGGGAGTCTGCTTCTCCCTCTCCCTCTGCCCCTTCCCCACAGGTGCAGGTGCAGGCGCAGTGGGCGCTGTCTCTCTCTCTCTCAAATAATAAATAAATCTTAAAAATAGATAAATAAAATCTTTGTCAGATCATTCCAACATCTGGTTTATCTCCATGTTAATATCTCTTGATAGTCTTTTCTAATTCAACTTGCTGTTTTCCTGATTCTTGCTATGACAAATGAGTTTTTATTGTATCGTGGACATTCTGAATATTATGTTAGGAAACTCTGTATCCTATTTAAGTCTTCTACTTTAGCAAGCAGTCACCATGCTTAGACTTAGCTTGTAGGTAATAGCATACTATTTTGGGCTTTCTTTCCAATAATAATTTAGGTTCCAGAACCCTTGCAGTGCTATTCTGGTATGCTTTGTTTGTTTACTTGGTGCTGCTTTGTTCCCCTGGTGCCTGCTTGATCCTTTCTAAAGGTGGAGTGTTAGTAATCAACATGTGAATATTTTTAAAGTTACAGGATTGATTGAGATCACAAAAGAAAGTAATGTAGAGAAGACCAGTCATTATGCCCTGGGGTACTCCCAACATTAGGGGTTGAGTGCACAGGAAGAACCAATAAAGACACTAAGAAGTATTCTCAGGTAAAAGAAAAACCAGGTGTAAGGGGGAAAGGAGTAAAGTGATCAACTGTGTCAGATCATGCTCATGAATAAGATGAGAACAGAGTTAACCATTGGATTTGGAAATGTGGATGTCTTTTGTGGTTGGAATGGGTCTAAGGGAGAGTGGGAGGGACAGTGAGCATCAACAACTCCTTCGAGAAATTTTACTGCATATAGGAACAAGGAGAGAGGACAGTAATGTTAGGAAGTGAGGTCTAGAGAAGTTTGTTAATAAGTGGGAGAAATAATAGCATTTTTTATTATGACTCATGTGGTAGTGAGCAAGATTTTCATGATCTAGGAAATGAGAGAATTGATGAATCTGGTTCCTTCAATAGATAAGATAATACAGTATCTACTGCACAAATGAAGATACTTAGTTAGGAGTGTAGATACTGTGGTAATGAGGGGTAGGTGGTACAGTTCTGGCCCTAATCAGAATTAGCACAGATTTCACAGAGTAAGGGAATAGTCCTTCATGAAACTCCCCTTATTTGAGACACCAGCTGAAAGCTCTGGCATTCTTAGACCACCTGTGCTTCTGATACAACCGATTATAAATTCATGGGTTCCTGTTAACCCCCTCAAATTCAGTAATTCACTAGGATGACTCACAGAACTCAGGAAAGCACTATACTTACAATTATAGTTTTATTATAAAGGGTATAAATTAGGACTTGCCAAAAGAAGAGACCACAGGGTAAGATCTGGAAGGTCCCAAAAGCAGAGTTTCCATTTTTCCTCCTGTGAAATCAGGGCATGCCACCCTCCCCGCACATTGGTGTGTTTACCAGCCAGGAAGCTCAACCAAGCTTCAGTGTCCAGAGTTTTTTTAATTGGGGTTTTATTATCTAGGTATGGTTAATTGAATCATTAACAATGTGAGGGAACTCGGTGTCCAGCCCCATCTCCTTGGGGGTCAGGTTGATATCATAGGGCTTAAAGCTCCATCCCTCTATTCACACGGTTGGTCATTCCAGCATGGCCTGACTGTATACTGTAACTATCTAGGGGCCTGCCCTGAGTCACCTCATTAGCATAAACTCAGATGTGGTCTTAGGGGCCCCCCACCAATAACAAAGATACTCCTGTCACTCAGGAAAGTCCCAGGTAGTACTTTCTGCCCAGGAACCCAAGACAAAGATCAGACAAATTCTTCATTATGTAACATGTGGGTACTATGATTGTAGAAGTTCCAGAAAGAGATAATGGATGCCTGGACTAGAATGTTAGGAGAAGATATAGTCAGAAATTGTCAGATGCAGGAAATATTTTAAAAGTAGAGGTGATGGGGCGCCTGGGTGGCTCAGATGGTTAGGCATCTGCCTTTGGCTTGGGTCATGATCCCAGGGTCCATTGAGCCCCACACTGGGCTCCCAGGGAGGAGCAGGGAGTCTGCTTCTTCCCCTATCTCCCCCTGTACCCCCTGCTTGTGCTCTCTCACTCTGTCAAATGAATAAATAAAATCTTAAAAAAAAAAAAAAAGAGGTGACAGAACTCAGGGATGGATTAGATGTGAGAAACAAATGAAAGGAGCTTATGATGATTACAAAGAAGTTTGCTTGAGCTGTTGGATGAAAGCTGTTGACATTTACTGGAAAGAGTGTTGGGGTAAGAGTCAAGACAGTTTTTTTAAATATTAATTTATTATATCTGCTAGACTTTTTTTTTTTTTTTTTTTTTTTTTTTTAGATTTTATTTCTCTGAGAGCATGTGGAGGAGGGGCAGAGAGGAGAGAGGGTGAAGCAGACCTCCCCCCATGGCGGACCAATGTGGGCAGATTCCAGGACCTGGAGTTCATAACCTGAGCTGAAGTCAGATGTGTAACCAGCTGGGCCACCCAGGTGCCCCATGTGTCTGTTAAACTTTCAAGTGGAAATGTCAAATAGGAAGGCAATGGGATGCTTCCCATTGAAAGCCTGCATTTGGAGGTTGTTAGGTTATAGAGCCCATTTAAAGCCATGAAATTGGATGACATCAGCTATGGACTCAGTTTTGATTGTGAATAGTTAGAAGAAATGTGAAAATTGGAGCCTTTTGGGATACTCCCAACATTTTGAGGTTGGGAAGATGAGGAAGAATGAAAAAAAGGAGACTGAGACAGAGTTACGAAAGCCAGGGATGTGTCTCTTCATTGAAACACAAAGACAAGAGTTATGTTACTCAGTAATTCTTACATATTGACATTGCCAGATATTTTTCCTGCTTTGTTGTCTCTTGATTTTGTGTTGTTATTATTTCATTTATTTTTCAGGATAGACATTTAAAATTTTTATGTGGTCAGACTTACTGGGTTTTAAAATTTATAACCTAAAGGTTTTATTAGTATTTCAACTTTAAAATTGTAAAGTTTTATATTTTACAGTGTTTTATATCTTTATATTTCCTTATTTGGTGATATTAGTATATTGACATAAAAACGAAGGTAGTGATCAAACTTTATTTTTATCCAAATTGCTAGACTATTACAGCTTTAGGATTAGGGGTGAATGCCCATTAGATTATTGGAAGAGATGATAAAACAGCAATGACAGCTGGAGGGATCTTGTAAGGTTTGCCCTGTATTGAGAAGTGTGGTATATTTTATGCGATTCTTTTATTAGTTGGTAAGAAAATGGAGAAAAATGCTGTGTAGTTAGCTTATTTTGCAAACATAGAAAATTGAAAGAATTCTGGTCTTGAAGAAATAAGGCCAGAATTTAATTCCTAGCTTTACTCAGTATGATCATAGGCAAGTCATTTAATTGCCTGTTCTTTTATTTCCCCATCTTTTAAATGGATTTTTTCTTAGCTTTAGTTCTTTTAGAAGATCAACTAATACAATGCTTGTGATGATGTTATTTAAACCATAATGTGTAATACAAGTATGAGGGGGCACCTGGGTGTGTCAGTTGGTTAAGTGTCCAACTCTTGGCTTCTGCTCGGGTCATGATCTCAGGGTCATGTGATCAAGTCCCACATTGGGCTCTACACTCAGCGCTCAGCACAGAGTCTGTTTGTCTCTCTCCCCCACCTCAAATAAACAAATAAAATCTTTAAAAATGAACAACAACAACAAAAAACAAGTAATGGGGTACTGACTTTGATATTTGGTGATAGGGTAAAATGTTTCCTAGTGACAGTACTGCATCTACTCTGAATGGATGAATGGAAGCTCACCAAGAAAATAATGTATTGGGTTTCATATAAACTGCCACTGTTGACATTAGTCTGTAGATAGACTGAATTCTGCCCTTCTGTTTTGTTTAACTGTTTCCTTTCTTTGTTTCAGTTGCTGATTGTTGGAGGTTCTTTTGGTCTTCGTGAGTTTTCACAAATCCGCTATGATGCTGTGAAAATTAAAGTAAGGACCGTAATTGGAGTTTAACATGTGTCTGTGTATATGATTGTTCAGGTTTAGTGTGTTTACTTAGTGTACTAAGCAGTGTGAGTTTTGTCTAATTTTTCAAGGGGTCGTATGATCTTTGGGCTCTTTCTTCCTCTTTAAGACAACATGAGTGATCATACGGAAATGAATCATGAAATATAAAGAATTTAGTTATCTTATTCATAGAAAATTTGCAATACTGCATTCTCCAATGAAATATATTCAGTAGAGTTGTTTTTAGGATTTAAAAGGGGCTGGAGAATGTTGGACAATTTCACTCCTGTTATATTATTCTAATTACAAATTAGCTGTTTTATATTAATACCAGTAATTTTATAAATTATATTGATATATAAAGTATACTGATAAACTGAAGGAAAGGAAAATTATTTTTCATTACAAATAATGATACTTACCTTTTTTAGGTATATATTTATATGTTATATATGAAACTATACATATAAATATATGTGAAATTTATTTCACAGGTGAGGAAACTGAGGCTCAGAGAGCTTCAGTAACTTACCTATGGATACATGGCTATTTAGAGGTAGTGCTAGGATTTTCACCCTCTTTAATTTACAATCATGAACAAATTTAGGCCAGGTGTTACATAAGAACTCTAGTTAAGCAACTCTGATTAATTCATTCAGAAGTATGTAGTTTTTTGGGGCACCTGGGTGGCTCAGTTGGTTGGGCGACTGCCTTCGGCTCAGGTCATGATCCTGGAGTCCTGGGATCGAATCCCACATCAGGCTCTCTGCTCGCCAGGGAATCTGCTTCTCCTGCTGACCTCTCTCCTCTCATATTCTCTCTCTCTCAAATAAATAAATAAAATCTTAAAAAAAAAAAAAAGTATGTAGCTTTTGTTTGTGGCCACATCTGATATTTGAGTTTTTTCCCAAGTTTTGTATATGTAAAGCATATATACATATGTATAATTTCCTATGTACATATATAATATTTATATATACAAATTTTTCTACCAATATTATTGAGATCTACTAGTGAAATATATATTATATAATGTATATTAATTATATTAATTAATAATTATTAGTAGGAAAGTAAAGTGTATTAAAGACCCATTCAATTTTCTCAGTTAATTTTATAGTTTAAGAGAAACACCAACTTCAACTAGTCTTAAAGACAGTAAGTATTAGGGTAAATATTAAATTTAAAAAATGTATAATACATATAATGTTCCATGAAATCATGTTTTTATTTACTTTTTCCTTTAATATCTTGAATATATATATGTTACTTTATTATTTTTTTTTTAAAGATTTTATTTATTTATTTCACAGAGAGAGAGATCACAAGTAGGCAGAGAGAGAGAGAGAGAGAGGAGGAAGCAGGCTCTCCGCTGAGCAGAGAGCCCGATGCGGGACTCGATCCCAGGACCCTGAGATCATGACCTGAGCCAAAGGCAGCGGCCCAACCCACTGAGCCACCCAGGCGCCCCTATATATGTTACTTTAAAGTCCTATCTCCAACGTACATCAACTATAGATCTGCTTTAGTGTCTAGTTTTTTTCTCTTGTTGGTTTTGTGGGTAAATGTTCTGTCTTTGAACACACCTTGTAATTTTAATTTTTATTTTTATTTTTATATATTATTTTTATTTTAAGATTTTATTTATTTATTTGAGAGAGAGAGTGAGAGAGAAAGAGAGAAAGAGAGAGAGCATGAGCAGGAGGGGCAGAGGGAGAGTAGAGAAGCAGACTCTGTGCTGAGCAAGGAGCCCGATGCGGGACTCGATCCCAGGACCCTGGGATCATGACCTGAGCCGAAGGCAGAAGCTTAACCAACTGAGCCACCCAGGCACCCCGACCTTATAATTTTTTAACTGAATATTGGATCTTGGATAGCCTGGGGGCCAATCCCCTTCCTGCTCTGGAGGAGTGAGTGTTGAAGTTGATCACTGCTCCAGTGTCTGTTGGCCACTTATATTTCCTTTATTGTGTGTCCTCTATTGTGATGTTTTAGGTCTCGGTTGCCCATTTTTTCTGTGGATTGTTGGTCTTTTTCTTATTGTTCTGTAAGATTTCTTTATACATGGCAGATTATAAACCTTTTTGTCATCTTAATGGTGTCTTTTGATGAACAAGTTTAGTGTAGTCTGTTATTCCTTTTTTACTCAGAGTTACTTTTTCTTTTTGTCCTTTTAAGAAGTTTTTCTTATGCCAAAATAAAAATATTTTTCAATATGATTGCTAAAATTTTTGTTTGGCCTTTTATACTCAGATCTGCAACTATAAAACCCAAATGGAATTGATTTTTTGTACACAGTGTGAGGAATTGTGATATTCTGATTTATAAGAGATAGGTATTTGGTCTTTGCCCTATTTTCTGGCATTGAACTAAAATCCCTGGAATTTCCTAATTGTTGAGAGCAAGCAAGGTGTCTTTTGTCGTGTGAGTGATTTATGGAATGCCCCTGGGTAACCTAAAGATGCGGGCTGGTTGCTAGGAGAGCCAGCCTTGTGAGACAGGGTTGGAACTTTCAGTCCCACCTCTTGACTTCCAGGGAGGGGAGTAGGGCTAGAGGTTGAATCAATTGCCAATGGCAAGGACTTAATCAGTCATCCCCATGTAATGAAGCACAAATAAAACCAAAAAGATAAGATTCAGACAAATTCCTGGCTGGGGAACTTGTAGAAGTGCTGGGGGAGTAGCCCTCTTAGAAAGGACATACAGGGACGCCGGGGTGGCTCAGTGGGTTAAGCCTCTGCTTTCGGCTCAGGTCATGATCTCAAGGTCCTGGGATCAAGTCCCACATTGGGCTCTCTGCTCAGCAGGGAGCCTGCTTCCTCCTCTCTCTCTCTTTGCCTGCCTTTCTGCCTACTTGAGATCTCTCTCTGTCAAATGAATAAATAAAATCTTAAAAAAAAAAAAAAAAAAAGAAAGGACATGCGATCTCCACACCTTCCCTTGTACTTTGCCTGAATAAATAAAATCTTAAAAAAAAAAAAAAAAAGAAAGGACATGCGATCTCCACACCCTTCCCTTGTACTTTCCCTTGTGTCTTTTCCATCTGGTCTTTTATAAATAAAATGTTTCAGTTCTGTGAGTTGCTCAGGGAGGGATTGTTGGAACCTCCAGTCTATATAGACAGTCAAGTACAGGTGACATCCTGGATTTGCAGTTGGTGTGTGAAGTGGGGAAGGGGGCTATCTTAGATGACTGAGCCCCTAATGTGTGGGACCTGACTCTTATCTCCAGGTAGGTAGTGTCAGAATTGAGTTAATTGCTTGGTGGTTTGGAAAAAAACCCACACACATTGGAGGAACTATAACGGAACTAGCTGTAACTCAACTAATCTGAGTTTGTTTGCTCCTTGGTGAGTTGCAGATAGAGATTACAACAGCTCATCTATAGGAATGACAGCAGGCGGAGTTGTTACACAAAGGAAACTTGATTTGCAGCAAACAAGAAGATGATCATGGAAATAACTTCCAAATCCATGACTACCCAAACAGGGGTGAGAGAGTTCTTTTTATTTAAGATTAGGGTGGATATTCAGAAAGGGGAGCTTTGTCATCACACGTAAAGGCAGGAATAAGGTTGTGCAGACATAGTATCTTATGAAACCTGTGCTCCTCACAGGGCAAAGACTTTAATACTGTACTGAAGCATAATAACTGTTGGACAAAGGGAAGGGGCTATGGACACGATCCACAAGCTAGTATAAACTGGATGGGATCTTTCTTTCTTTCTTTCTTTTTTTTTTTTTTTTAGGATTTTATTTATTTATGCCAGAGAGATAGCGAGAGAGAGGGAGAAACAGGTTTCCCCTGAGCAGGGAGCCCGATATGGGGCTCCATCCCAAGACACTGGGATCATGACCTTAGCCGAAGGCAGACTCTTAAATGACTGAGCCACCCAGGTGCTGAGCTGGATGAGATCTTAGGCTGGTTTTCTCAGGTAAGGTCTGCCGGGGCCTGCTTGTTCATAGACTGGAACCTTATCAGTTGACCCATAGCCAGTGTATTTCTTAGTGGGGTCTGAAAAGAAACAGTAGCTGACTACAGAGAAACAGTTCTGAAAAACAAGCTTTAAATGTTCTGCTAGTTTCAATCCTGCAAAGACAGCTCAAGAATGTGCTAGGTCAATCTTTACTTTTGAAATAGCACTGGGAGTTTTACCATTGATTTTTTTGTTTCTGATATGGTTAGGCTATCTACTGGCCTATTAGAGACTTAGTTTTTACATTCCCATTGTTCCCTTAAAATTCTTAACTGCTGTTTTGTTTTTTGTTTTTTCTTTTTCTTTTTCATTTCTTTGTAATTCTAACACCCCCTAGGCAGTTCTGCGAAGAAGTGTGCTTGGGCAAGTAGAGTTGGTAAGGCACACATCCAGGGGGTGGGGGAATAGTGGCAGGGGATAGCTGGGGACCTGAAATGTCTGGGTCTTTCTTTTTCTGGGGATCCCTAACTCTGCTTATAGAATGTTTCCCCTAATATAGACAATAAGTTGTCCAAGCACCATTTACTGACACAACATTTTTCCTTCCTGCTCTTCTGTGTCTGTTTTGTTGTCTGTTTTGTTGCATTAATTTATTTACAAATCACATTGTGGTTTTCAAATTAATTGTGCATTCCTGAGAAATGAACTCACCTTGATCTTGGTATACTGTCTTTTTGGTATGTTGCTATCTTTTGTAGTATGTTCTTCAGGAATTCTGCATTAGTGAAGTTGGCCTGTTCTCTTACTATCTTTTTCAAATTTTGACATCAAACTTGTGCTCACCACATAACTAGAAGGTTTTTTGTTACACTGGCATTATTTCTTCTTTAGTAGAATCCACTGGTAAAGCCACCTGAACCTGGAGTTTTCTTTACGTAAGATTTTAAAGTTCAGATTCATCTCTTTATACATTATAACACTGTTCAAATAGTTTATTTTTTCTATTACATGTTAGAAAGTTGTAGTTTTCTATGAATTTGTCCATTTTGTCTAATTTTTCAAGTTTGTGGGCCTAAAAGTATTCATATTATCCGAGTATCTGTTGCCCATAAAATTTATATTGTTGACATCTTTTTCATTCTGAATACGCATATTTGTGACTTCTCTTTCTTCTAAGTCGATTTTACTTGAGATTTATCGATAACTTTTGGTTAAGTTTATTCTCTTGTCATACATTTGTTTGATCTTTAATTAGCTCTATTCTCTATTTACTTTTTCCTTTAAGTTTCTTTTTTCTAACTTTATGAGGTAGAATCTTAGCTCTTTTCCTGTCCATCTTTTTTTTTTGTAATTTTTTAAAGAATTTTATTTATTTATTTGATAGAGAGCATAAGCAGAGGGAGCAGCAGGCAGAGGGAGAGGGAGAAGCGGGCTCCCCACTGAATAGAAAGCCTGATATGGGACTTGGTCCCAGGACCCTGGGATCATGACCTGAGTCAAACACAGCTGTTTAATTGACTGAGCCACTCAGGCATCCTCTTTTTTTTGTAATATATGCTTATAAGCTGACAAATTTCCTTTTAAACATGGGCCTAGCATGTCATGCAAGTTTAATATATAATATGTTCACAATCATTTAATTAAAAATGTTTTCAGTTATTCAGAAGCTACTTAGAAGTGTTTAATTTATAAGTATAGGGGATTTTCTAATTATTTTTTATTGATTTCTAACTTAGATGCATTGTGATCAAAGAATATTTTCAATGAGCTCATTCTTTGATATTTGTTGAGACTTTATGACACAGCATATGATCAGTTTATATATAATGTGCGCTTGAAAAAATGTACGTCTGGCAGTGTTGGGTACATATTAAAATTTACACATCCATTTGTACATTCATTTGGTCAAGTTTGTAGGGTTTTCTCAAATTTTATGTAGTGTTGACTTTTTAAATCTGTTTTTTCTATCTGCTACTGAGAAAATTGTGCTGACATCTCTATTATGACTCCCATTTCACCATGATATTAGGCACACATAATTTCAGAATTAGTACATCTTCATGGCTGAGTTTTTAGTATAATGAAGTTTTCCTTAAAAAAAAATTCAGGGTGCCTGGGTAGCTCAGATGGTTAGGTGTCTGCCTTCGGCTCAGGTCATGATCCTGGGGTCCTGGGATCAAGTCCTGCATGGGGCTTCCTGCTCCTTGGGGCGCCTGCTTCTCTCTCTGCCTCTGCCTCTCTCTTTGTCTCTCATGAATAAATAAATAAAATCTTTTAAAAATTCAAATAAATATCAGTAAATTTAAAGATCAGGTTGGTTTTATTCATTGATTCTTGCATCTGGCAAAAGGAAAGAGCTCTGAAGAGCTGTATAAAATAGGAGACTTTTAAAGACCGAACTGAGCAGGGACAAGGAAAGAACATGTTATTTCATCTTTCTTTGGGGGACAGACAGGGACAGTCAGGCAGTTTACCTCACTCCTCTGACCAGGAAGTTCCAGACTGACTGGTTAAGATCACATTCCTGGGAGAGAGTGGAACTTAGGTTAGATATTAAGTGTCAGTTTGGTGACATGCTTAGCAGAAGTGACTCCATTTTGGACCTGTTGCCTTTTTCTTAACGCTTTGCTTGCTAATAATGCTTCTTTCCTTAAAGGCTGTTTTGTTGGATGTTAATATGACTTCTTTAGCTTCCTTTTTAAGCTTAACCTTTCTATATACTTAGGTTTTAAATATATCTCTTATAAACAGAATATATGTTTTTAATAGTCTTGTTTTTTAATTGGAGCATTAAATCCATTTGCATTTAATGTAAATTTTTATATATTTGGGTTTAAATATACTTCTTATGTGCTGTTTATTACAGTTATTTCTTTCTGACCTTTTTGTGGTCCTCTTTTGGATTAATAATGTTTTATTAATTTGTTATTGTTCTTTTGGTTAGAAAGCTGTATTTTTACTCTTCCACTGAAGGTTACTCTAGAGATTATTGCAGGTTTTAGTTTTTGTTTTTTTCCTTCTATTGTTTGGTGTTGAGGGGGAGCAGGATATGCTGTCCCAAAATGAACCATTTTGACATGTGGATTATTTTGAGCTGAAGACCTAGCAGACTATGGAAAGGATTTTTATCTCTTCTTTAACTGCCTAAAACAACTTAGATGGAGGGCCTGTACCAAGAAGAGACCTATTACCAGGGATAACTTTTTATATTAGAAAGACTTACCTGCATGGCATAGTGGACATTTGTTTACCAAACATTTGCTTTTTATCTTCCTGTGAATTGTCTTCCTCCCCTTTTAAACGCTAGCTTCCTACCTCATTTTCCTTAGCTCAGAATGATATTTAATTGTCTGACTCAATTTCCTGGCTACCTGTGAGTCTCATGTCTTTGTGGGCCTCCTGTACATATATAATTAAATTTGTTTTTCTCCTGTTCATGTGTTTTATGTCAATTAATTATTAGGCCAACCTCACCATCCCAGCCATTCCATATATAACTTTTTTTTCCCCCCTTATATAACTTTTTAAATTCAAAATTGAATCTAACAGACTTAAATAACTTATGGCTCCTCTTTCTTTTCTGCAGATTGATCCTGAATTAGAAAAAAAACTGAAAATGAATAAAATATCATTGGAATCCGAATATGAGGTACATATGTTAATATATGTTATATGTTAATATAATCTCTTTTGTAGCAGTTAATATAATATAATATATAATGTTAATATAATCTCTCTTTTGTAGCAGTTTTCCTAGCCAGTGACTGATTCTATCTTAAATTACTACCAGTGCAGAAAAAAATGACCCCAAACAATATGGTATTAGGACAACTAACTATGTAGTCATTTGATAAGAAAATATGATGGATCTATATTTCACGTGTTAAAATGAATAAATTCTAGGTAGAACAAAAATTTAAAAATAAAAAAAAGTGCTAAAATACTAGGGGGAAAGATGGAGATTCTTTTTTGTGGTCTTAAGTCAGAAAAGTTGATTTAAATGTGATACAAAATTCAAAAACTTTAAAAGTAAAGATTGATGAGTTTATATATAAAAATTCAGAAGTTCAGCCTAAAAAAAAAATGTATATAAAGTCACTAGTTAAATGAGGAATCCTAAAAATACTGTTATGATGAATTAGTTTACTTAAATATGAACAGCATTTACAGATCAACATGGAAAAGTTTAACATTTTAGTTGGTCAGTGGGAACATGAGGTAAAGAATTTAAAGACTTCAGCAAAAAGGAAATAAATATCATTCTTTTGTGTGTGTGTGTGTGTCTTTTTTAATGATATTTTAAAATTTAAATTCAGTTAGCCAACATAGTAGTACATCATTAGTTTTTGATGAAGTGTTTAGTGATTCATTAGTTGCCTATAACACCCAGTGCTCCTCACATCACATGCCTTCCTTAATGCCCATCACCCAGTTACCCATCTCCCTACCCATCTCCCTTTCCACAACCCTCAGTTTCTTTCCCAGAGTCAAGAATCTCTCATGGTTTGTCTCCCTCTCTGATTTCTCCCCATTCAGTTTTTCCCTTCCTTCCCCTATGTTCCTCTGTGCTATTTCTTATATTCCACGTATGAGTGAAACCATATGATAATTGTCTTTCTCTGACTGACTTATTTCACTTAGCATAATACCCTCCAGTTCCTTCCATATCAATGTTACCGGTAGGTATTTATCCTTTCTAATGGCTGAGTAATACGCCATTGTATATATACACCACATCTTCTTTATCCATTCATCTGTTGAAGGACATCTCTGCTCCTTCCACAGTTTGGGTATTGTGGACATTGCTTCTGTGAACATTGCTTCTGTGAACATTGGGGCACATGTGCCCCTTCTTCTCACTACATCTGTATCTTTGGGGTAAATATCCAGTACTGCAATAGCTGGGTTGTAGGGTAGCTCTATTTTTAGCTTCTTGAGAAACCTCCATACTGTTTTCCAGAGTGGCAGTACCATCTTGCGTTCCCACCAAAAATGCAAGAGGTTTCCCCTTTCTCCACATCCTTGCCAACATTTGTTGTTCCCTGTCTTGTTAATTTTAGTCATTCCAACTGGTATAAGGTAGTATCTCATTGTGGTTTTGATTTGTATCTCCCTGATACAAATGTGATGTGGAGAATAAATATCATTCTTAAACATAGGACAAGATACCAAGCTTATAGGAATGTTAGTTAAAATTATAAGAATGTGTCATCGTCCACCCATCTGATTAGCAAAAATTCCTGTTTAATAGCAAATGGTGTTATAGCATGTGGTTAGGAAGATGTTTTCCATTTCTTGTATATTGTTGATTTTTTGCCTGTGGATCATACTTCCTGTTTCTTTGTATGGTTAGTTATTTTGCTTGAAAGATGAACATTGTGAATAATACATTGAAGAGACTTGTGAAGAGTGTTGATTTTCATTTTAGCAGGCAGTTCAATTATTGGCTGATTATTTTGAGCTTGGTTTGTCTTTTTAAGGGAGGCTCTGTGGAAAGTCTTTGGTGTTTCCTATACTGTTGTAACTCTATGGGACTCATTCTCCAAATTGTCTCTCCAGAGGATCTTGTCAGAGCTTGGATTGCAATGAGTCCAAAGCAGGTCTTACTCTTGGCATAATCCGTATTCCTAAAGATTAGCCTTTTTGGTGTCTCAGGCGTATGTCAAGGTAGGTGTTAAAGAGAGGTCTCCACTGGAGCAGGGCTGAAAATCCAGTATTGATTGGCAATGCATTTCTTCAGCACTTCTTGATTCTGTTTCATACTCAATTCTGTAACGGTTGTTAAGTGTTAAGCCTTAGGTGGTCTTGCCCAACACATGTACAGCATGGTCTTCAGTGACTGTCCATGTTTTGCTAAATTCCACCGAGACACTTTCATTTACTGTAGACCTGTGAAGACTGGAACAGTTTTATGTGAAGTCGTTCTGCCAGCCTTGCATCCCATCTAAGAAATATTCTTAAATTCTCTTAAGCATATTTGTCTTATGTTACCTGGGTAAAGGCCATCTTTTCTTCAAAGCTTTTTGTAACTTTGGGTAATTTCAATACTGTACTTGAAAATAACTTATTCCCTTGCACATTAAATAAGTAGAACTTGGTTCATTTATGTATATTTAATATAGACTCCTAGCGAAACTGTAAGTGACATTTAGAGCATGGTTTCAGTTCACTACTTCCCCATTATTTTGTCAAGACCAGTGACTTGCTACTTCTCAATCTATAAGCACTATGTCAGTAGTGATGCTCTGGAAGGTTTTTCTGGGAGTAAATTTTCTTTTAGTTATTTTGGAAACCATAGAATTTGAGATCTGAAGAAACCATCTAGACCATTTGGTTTAGCCTTTTTATTATTACTTATGAGGGAATTAGTGCCCAGGTGGCTTATTAAATCACTTGCCCAAGGTTATACAGCTTGTTAGTAAAAGAAAGGCTTATTATCCAAGTGTCAGTGTAAATTCATATTGTTTTTCCTATCTCTGGATATAAGCGATTCTGTGTTCTCTGAGCCTTTTTTTTCTCAGTAATTCCAGAACAATAAAAGTAGATGTAGAAAAGTTACTGTCAGAGTGGTGTTGAAGGGTGAAGAACCATTTATATTCTTCCCTTTATTCGACCTTCATTTCTGTGCTGGGCGGCATTTCATACTGTGAAGGTACGATGATCCAAACTGTAGTTTAAACTAGGTTTTATTGAATAAAAGGGATTTGCTCCTGGCAGCTGTGGGGAATGTCTTCATTTGCAGGCTCAGGCTCATTTCTCAGGTGCAGGACAAATCATTAGTCTCTTTTCTTCCTTCTAGCAGACTTTAGGGTCTCCACCTTTGTTCTTTTCCTCTCATTTACTACTGTCACCAGGCTAACCCATGCTAGTCATTATTAGCTGAGTCAGCCTTCAGAGTTGGACTTTTGTTTTCCCGGCTTCTTGCCTTTCTTTGTGCTCTCAGAAATAAAGTATGCAGACTCTTTCTCTAATTCAGTAATTTTATTCTGATGGGGGGAGGGAGAAAGATTTTCTAATTAACCTCCACAGCAAGCAAGAAAAATTCCAAATCCTAGAAGATATATCACTACTTCAGTTAGTATGTGTGACATGCAGCTGATTTATTTGTTACAATTATAATTGAGGGCTTATTGGATTTTTTCCACTCATTTAGTCATTCATTTAGTAATGTCCTAATCAAAGCCACAGGACTTTTACCCTAATATATATACTTTAATTTTTGTGGCTCTGTAGAAAATAAAGGACTCCGCTTTTGATGACTGGAAGAATATTCGAGGACCCAGGCCTTGGGAAGATCCTGACCTCCTCCAAGGACGAAATCCAGAAATTCTTAAGACTAAGACAACTTGACTCCGTTGATTTTCTTTTCTTTTTCTTTTTTTTTTTTTTTTTAAACAAAAATGTTATCAACTGGAATTCCCACTACATACTCAGGGGGAAGAAAATTTCAGACCTGCAGAAGCTTGGATGTGAGTAATGTGATGACAGATAATCTTGATAAAAAATCACAATAACAGCAGGCAGTGATTTTTTTGTCAATCCTGTGTAGGAAAATCATATCAATCACAGGTGATGAGAGTTTTGGTTTTACTTATAATACCTCACATGATATACTAATCAGTCTCCAAAGCATATAACTGATGATTGTGTTGATACCATTAAAACATGTTGAGAAAATAATATTGTTCTTGGTTAAGGCAAAGATCATGTAGTAGTACGTATTATATACAGATACAGCAAATTTGTTCAAGTATTCCAAATTTGTTATCTATGTGACTACAATTTGGAAATACTGCTTTAAAGGTATACTTTACGTCTTAGCATAATTGGCATGCAACTTGACTGTAGTTCTGTTCTTTTTCTTTTTTTAACTTGGGGTTTGCTATGATCTAAATGCTAGGCAAAAAGATAGAATTGAGAGAAGTTGGGTTTTTTTTTAGTTTATTTTCTCCTTTTTACCTGTGTCTTAGCCAGCCTGTTACCCCACTCTCTGATTTTTTTCATACTGAGTTCCAGGTGCCTAAAGTCTCAATTGAAATACTCCCCCTTATGTTGACAAAAAATTATAAATCTACCTGCCTCTTGCCCAATCAAGATCACTGTTTTCAGTGGGTTAATTTTAGCAAAAAGAAAATCAAGCTGATTATTTAATGATGATAAATCATGAGATATTAGAGAACAGTTGGATTTCATGGGCCAAAAAAAAATAATAGATCTCCACTTAACATTGCTCCATGTACAAAAAGTAACTCAAAATGGATCTAAATGTAAAACTTAAAACTTTTGGGAAAAGAAGGAAGAAAGTCTTCAGGACTTAGTGTATAATTGTTGAAAAATAGTTCTTAACAAAAACATTCATAAAAGAAAAACTTGGTAAATTGAATCTCATCAAAATTAAAAACTTATGTTTTCCAAAGACCCCATTAAAAGTGAAAAGACAATCCAGACTGAGAGAAAATACTTGCAAACCACATTTATGATAAAAGGCTCATATCTAGAATATATGAAGAATTCTGAAAACTCAGTAATAAAAAAGCAAACAGTCCAATAAGAAAATAGTCAAAAGACACAAAGCAGCATTTCACTGAATATATTCACTATATGAATATGGCAAATAAGCACATGAAGAGAATGGTTAACATCACTAGCCATCAGGGAAATACAAATTTGGACTACCTTGAGAAATCACTACACACTTACTAAAATAGCTGAAATGAAAAAGTGACAATTCCAAATGCTGGTAAGGATGTGGAGAAACTGGACCCCTCACACATTGCTGGTATAATGTAAAATGGTACAACTCATCTAGGAAATTGCTTGACATTTTCTTTAAAAACAGCATGGGGGACTTCAGTTTCTGGTCAAACATTTAGGAACCTTGGAAGTCACACCTCCCATCCTAACACAAAGAAAAAGCTGAAAACCTGAAAATCAACAGCTATTCTTTGATCCATGAGAGAATTGAGGACACAGGACAAAACCACCAACTGAAAACTTGAGACAGACAAATAGAGAGGATCACAGGTTACCTGGAGGAGAACCCACCTGAAAGCCACTGTTGGAGCCAGGATCAGGTAGGAATGCTTGAAGGGTAATTGACTAATTACTGGAGACAGAGCATGGACAAGCTTGAGTTAAAAACTCCTAGATACCAGGCCAGGGGCATATTTTTGTGAGTTTTAGTTCCTGGAGCCCCACTAGATTCTCACTCTGAATATTACAGAAAAATCTTGTGGTTTCAGCAGGGGGGAGGAGAAATGAACCATTCTGAAATATGTCCTCTGAATTTTGTTCTTAACAAAAAGCCTAGCCTCAAAGGAAACTTTTGCTGGAGACTAATCACACTGGATTTTGCCAGAGCTTAACCAACTCTAGGGTAAGAGAACTACCCAATTTAGTCCCTTCTAGCCTCCTGTTTCACCTAAATGGGTTGAGGGTGTGGGGAGGAAACCTGGAGAGGTAGTAGTGAAAGTCATGTGGGACCATGATCACTAAAAGACTAAGACCTAATCATAAAACCATAGATTGTTCCCTTCCCCCTTCACATTACTACCAATTCACTGAAGGCTATTCAGTGGAGTTTCTTTTCCCCAATCCAGCTGAGTATTATGTCCAACTTTGAAAAGAGAAATTACAATGCATATTAAAATACAAAAAGCACAGCTTGAAAAGACCAAGCATCAAAATCAGATTCATATATGGCAAGGAAGTTGGACTCACCAGACTGAGAATTTAAAATAACTATAAGTAATATGTTTAGAGCTCTGATGGAAAAAGTACACAACATGAAAGAACAGATGGGTAATATAAGCAGAGAGATGGGAATTTTAAGAGTCAAAGAGAAATTCTAGAAGTCAGAAACAGTGTAATAGAAATGCCTTTGATGGGGTCATCAATAGAATGGATATGACTGCCAGATGGTAATTTAAAGACAAGGAGCACCAATAAAGGTATTTAAGTAATTATTTTTTTTTAAATCACAATTACATTTTTTCCTTTCTGAATTCATTTAAGAACAAATAAAACACTTTCTATAAAATGTATTTTGAGGTCTACATATAGAAATGTAATATATTGGGCAATAATAGAACAAAAAAAGGGGGTGGGAATGAAGCTTTATTGGAGCAAGGAAATAACACCAGATGATAATTGAATCCACAGGAAGCAAAGAAGAGAACCAAACTTGATAAATAAGAAGGTTAACATTTAAAAGCTTATAAATAATTAAACGACTTCTTTAGAGGTACTTGGGTGGCTCATTTGGTTAAGGTCTGATTCTTGATTTGGGTTCAGGTCGTTATCTCATGATTGTGAGACTGAGCCCTGCATTGGGTTCTGTGCTCAGTTAGGAGTTTGCTGGAGATTCTCTCTCTCCCTTTGCCACTCCCCGCCCAACTCATGCACATGTGCATGCATGTGTTCTCTCTCAGTCTCCCTCTCTAATAAATAAATCTTAAAAAAACACTTCTTTGAAACACATAGAAAAACATAAGTCAATAATTATGTTTGTTGGGCTTGTGACATGCATAGATGTAATATGTATAATAATAATAGCACAAAAAAGTAAAGAAAGATCAAGCCAAATAGGAAGAAAATTTGTCTATCTTATTGATACTGAGTTAGTATAAATCTGAAGTAGATTTTGGTAAATAATATATATTGTAAGCCTTAGAGTAAGCTTTAAGAAAATCACTCAAAAAATGTAGTTAAGGGGTGCCTGGGTGGCTCAGTGGGTTAAAGCCTCTGCCTTTGGCTCAGGTCATGATCCCAGGGTCCTGGGATCGAGCCCCACATGGGGCTCTCTGCTTGGCAGGGAGCCTGCTTCCCTTCCTCTCTCTCTCTGCGTGCCTCTCTGCCTACTTGTGATCTCTATCAAATAAATAAATTTTAAAAAATTTTTTAAAAATATAGTTAAAAATCATGGGATGCCTGGGTAGTTCTGTCATTGGGCATCTGCCTTCACCTCGGGTTGTGGTCCTGTGGTCCTGGGATCAGCCCTGAGTTGGACTCCCTGCTCAGCAGGGGGCCTGTTTCTCCCTCTGCCTGCTGCTCCCCTGCTTGTGCTCTCTCTTTTTGCCAAATAAATAATAAAAATAATAAAGTAGTTAAAAATCATAAAAGGAATTAAATGTTACACTATAAAATATCCTATTAATACAAAACAAGGCAGTTAAGGAATAGAAAAAAAATACAAAAGGCGTAGAAAATAGTAAAAATAGCAGATGGCAGTCGTACTTAGCAACTTACATTAAATATAAAAGAATTATATTCACTAATTAAAAGGCAGAGATTGACAGAATGGATAAAAACCACAATCCAACTATATGCTCTCTATAAAAGGTTCACTTTAGGTTCAAAGGCATTAAGTTCAAAGTATAAGGATGGAAAAATTGACACCGTGCAAATGGTAACCATATCAGAGAAAGTATACTTTGAGGCAAAAAATTATTATAAGAGACAAAGAGGAACATTTTATAATGATAAATGGTCAATAGGCAAGAAAACATAACTTATAAAAACATATGCAACCAACAACACAGCCCAATAATACAAAAAGCAAATACATAGAAAAAGGCAATTTTAAAATAATAGTAGGAGACTTCAATATCCAACTTTTAATTATGAATAGAAAAAGTAGGCATAGGAGACTTCAATACCCAACTTTTTATAAAGACTAGAACAAGTAGGTGAAAGATCATCTACTTAGGTAAACAAAAGACTTGAACAACACTGTAAACAAACTAGACCTGACCTCTGTGGATTACCCAACAACAGCAGAAGACACATTCTTCTCAAGTGTACATGGAACATTCTCCAGGTAGACCTTATGTAAGATCATAAAACAAGCCTCAAGAAAACTTAAAAGGATTTCAATCATACTAATATCAAACATGTTCTAGGATTGTAAGAAATCAACTATAGGGGAAATTTTGGAAACTTATAAGTACATGAAAACAAAATGTCATTGACTGTCCAGCTGGTCAGAGGAGAAATCAAAAACATAATAAATACTTTGAGATGAATCAAAATGAAGATACAACATACCAAAACTATGGGATTCATCAAAACAGTACTTAGTTGGAAATATGTAGCCATAAACACCTATATTAAGAAAAGATCTCAGAGTTCCTGGGTGGCTCAGTCGTTAAGCGTCTGCCTTCTGCTTGGGATCCCAGGGTCCTGGGATCAAGCCCTGCATCGGGCTCCCTGCTTGGCAGGAAGCCTTCCTCTCCTTTTCCTACCTCCTCCAGCCACCCCACTTGTGTTCCTTCTCTCTGTCAAATAAATAGAGTCTTAAAAAAAAAAATCTCGTTAGTGACTTTTACTTTAATGCACTTGAAGAAAGCAAACAAAACCTAAAGCAGACAGAAGAAAGTAAATAAAGATTAGAACAGAAATTTCAAATGAAGGAGAATAGAAACACAATAGAGAAATCAGTGAAATCGGAGGCTCTTTTTTTTTTTTAAAGATCAACAAAATTGACAAGCCGATAGCTAGGTTGACTAAAATTTAAAAAGAAGAGAAATCATTAAAATCAGGAATGAGAGAGGGGACTTTACTAGCAAACTTAGAGCAATTAAACTATAATGGAATGCTATAGACAATTCTATGCCAATAAATTACATAATTTAGATTAAATAAATTCGAAAAGACAACTACCTAGAAAGACAATCTACCAAAACTGACTCAAGAAGGAATATTAATCTGAATAGACCTATAAGAAGAAATTGAATTATACCCACACACACACACACACACATACACAGCACAGACCCAGACAGCTTTGTTGTGATTTCTACCAAATATTCAAAAGAAGAATTAATACCAAATCTTTACACACATTTCCAAAAAGGTAGAAAAGAATGAACACTTATCAACTCATTCTATGAAGCTAGTATTATCCTGATACAAAAAACAGGCAAAAACATAACAAAAGGACAGGTCAGTACCTCCTATGAACGTAGGTGCAAAAATCCTCAACAGAACACTAGCAAACTGAATCCAATAATATATAGAGAGGGGTTTTCCATCATGATCCATTGCGATTTATCTCAGGTGTGGAAGATTGATTTATCATTCAAAAATTATGTAATATGCTACATCAATGAAATTAAGAACAAAAACTTCATAATCATATCGATGCAGAAAAACACTTGACAGAATTCACCTCTTCATGATGAAAACACTCAACAAATTAGGTATCGGAAGAAACATGGTTCAGCTTGACAAAAGTCATCTACAAAACAACCAAAAAGCACCTCACAGCTATCAAATTTAACAGGCAAAGAATGACTGCTTTCTTCCTAAGATCAGAAAGAAGGAAGAATACCTGCTCTCACCACTGTTATTTGACA